AGGAAAGACTTGAGCTCTTTATCCTTCTACCTCAGCCTCTGGAGGGCTGCGGTTATAGGGGTGCACACTCACACCTGGCAATATACATTTTTTGTCAATTTAAAATAAATAATGAAATGATAAAATAGAGTACTAGGTAGTCACTGAGGTAGTTCTGATGTTTAATAGTTTGTGACTATACAATATGCAAATATTCATAGCTATTATTTTATTAACTGTTAAAATAGTTAACATTTTACTATTAAAAGTTTTAATGACTATATAATATGCATACTTTCCCATTTTTACGCTTAAATGATCAGTGATACTTTGTTTAATGCTTAAAACAGTTTCCATGCAGTTTGTATAGGGTGCCTCTTTAAATGAATTATAAATTATAAAGGTTCTTATATATTATTAACTATAAAAGGCATTTTTTTTTTGGTCCAGTCGTGGGCCTGAACTCTGGGCCTGGGCACTGTCCCTCAGCTCTTCAGCTCAAGGCTAGTGCTCTACCACTTGAGCCACAGTGCCACTTCTGGCTTTTTTTCTTTTTGCTTATGTGGTGCTGGGGAATGGAACCCAGGGCTTCAGGCATGCAAGGCAAGCACTCTACCACTGAGCCACCTTCCCAGCCCCAAGGCATTTTTTTTAAAGCAGGCTCAAGCCTGTAATCCTAGCTACTCTGGAGGCTGAGATCTGAGCATTGAGGTTAGAAAGCCTATGAGATTCTTATCTCCAATTAACTACCAAAAAATCCGGAAGTGGAGTTGTGGTTCAAGTAGTAGAGTTCTAGCCTCAAGTGAAAAAGCTCAGGGACAGCACAAGGCCTTGAGTTCAAGTCTTAGAACTGACACACACACACACATACACACACACATGCATTTTTAGAAATCAATGAGAAATAATGAAGACCCTAGTGAAAAAGTAGGGCACAGTTTGCACAAAAGTAGAAATATAAGGGTCACCAAACATAAAAAATAAATTTCAATCTCACCATACTAATTAATTAATTAGTTAATTAATTAAAGTCATACTAATTGATCACTTTGGACCTTTATCATATTGACAAAAATGGGTACTAAGTTTCTGAAGGGCAATTTATCAACACTTCCCCCAAAGTCATTGCATGATGCACACACACTGCTATGTTTGAATATTCGGGTCCTCTCCAAGATTCATGTAGAAACTTAATCTCCAAGGTGGCTGTATTAAATGGTGTGTCCCTTAGGAGGGGTGAATCGTAGGGTTCTACCCTAGGAATGTAAGACTTGATGGAGAGAAATGGCCTCTCTTTGTCCCTTGTATACCTAGTTCTCCCTCCAGAGCATGCAGAGCAAGGGGCCAGATACTTCACCAGCTGATTGATCTCTCTTCGGAGAATTTATTCTCAAGCAAATAGGAGTGAATATTTCTGTACAAGGATAATCATCACAGTTCTGTCTAGCTAAGGGCAAGGATTATTTATGAGATGATGGCCTAAGAAATATGTCTTTTGATGAGAATGCTGAAATGTACCTAAAATTAAATTATAGCAAGTAGCCAAGTGTTGGCAGCTCAGGCTGAGGTCAATGGATGAAGGGCCAAAGCCAGCCTGGCAGGAAAGTCTGAGAATCTCACTTTCAATTAACCACCAAAAATCTGGAAGTGGTAGAATACTGGCTAGCATTCTGAGGAACAGTATCCAGGTCCTGAGTTTAAGACCCAGTACCAGCACACACAATTACAGCAATATACTGACACAGCATATACATGTAATATGTACATATACACATATGTATTTACATATACATTACATAGAGAGAACATATAAATGCTATCAGCATGGCCTGATAGGACATTTTCTTTGTGTTTGTAAACCATGTATAGTTTTATTTTCATGTTTATATTACTTGTATAATTAAACATCAACAGAACAATTATTGTAAGAAAATATTTAAGGTTTATAAAGAGTGTAAACATCTGATCATATAAAACAGTATTTATTAAAATGAGCCCCAAGAAATGGAAATTAGAGGTTTTTTTGGTTTTGCTGTTTTTCTTTTCTTTTCCTTTTGTCTTGACAGAAATAGGGAGACACAGGGTGAACAAATGCAGCAGTGGTACTCACTGAACACTATGTTGAAAATGAACTGTACGATTTGTGGGTGGGAATGGGAGGGAAAAACTGGGAGAGAGCGAGGGAAGGGGTGACATCATCCAAAAAGAAACATACTCATTACCTAACTTATATAACTGTAACCCTCTTCCCTTTGCAACAAAAAAGAGAAAAACTAACATAAAATAAATGATTAGATTCAGTCCAAAAACATAAAAATACTCTATTTGTGCCTCCTTTAATCCAGACCTATTTTTAGACTTTAATCTGTTGTCTACAAATTTCACTAGCAAACAAAAATATTTTGCTATTTCAAAAAAGAGAAAAGAGTGCAACATGGACGCATCAGCATTTGAAGTGGAGCAAAAACTCTCTGATGACAGAACAATTCCAAGCCCTCTTCCAGAAGGACAAACTCACTCCCTGGTTTTGGAATAACTACTATCTTGTATATATATATATATAGCTGGGTGCCGGTGGCTCACGTTTGCAATGCTAACTACTCAGAAGGCTGAGGTCTGAGGATTATGATTCCAAGCCAACTGGGACAGAAAAGACCATAAGACAGGTCTCCAATTAACCACCAAAAAGCCGAGAGTGGTACGGTGCCAACCTTGAATGAAAAAGCTAAGGGATAAGGTTCAGGCCCTGAATTCAAGTCCTAGCCCTGGCACAAAAGAATAAAAAAATGTATATGTACTTGTTCAATATGTGAATAAAGTTTGCAAAGCTTAGGCTGCATAGAAGAATTGGTGAAAACAGAAGAGTATCACAGTGTGGAGATGGCTTGGCTTATGGGGCTGGTGCTTCTGAGAAAAGCAAGTCTTCCATGAGACAAGGCGATGAGGAAGATCAACCCTGCTCACTTTCTCGTCCAGCCCTCAAATCTGGAACACTCATAATCCTGGTTTCTTCTTGTTCTTCCTAACGTCCCTCCAATTCAGTAAAGGGTTTCTTCATTAATAAGCCTTTTCAGTCAAAACCTGGGCTGTGACCTCCATCTTCCTCTGCCTGCTCGTACCCCGACACCTGCTTTCCATTTCACATCCAAACTCCTGAGATCTATTCAGATTCAGCCACTCCTCGTCATTACCCCAGTCCAAGTGACCTTGAATATTTTTATTTGTGCCAATCCCGGGGTTGGAACTCAGGGCCTGGGTGCTGTTCCTGAGCTTTTTAGCTCAAGGCTAGCATTCACTTGAGCCACAGCTCCACTTCCCACTTTTTGCTGGTTAATTGGAGTTAAACTGGCTTTAAATCTGGATCCTCAGATCTCAGCCTCCCCAGTAGCTAGGATTACAGGAGTGAGCCTGCATGAGTCCCTGGCTTATCCTGACTACTATCCAGATCCCTCTTTCTCTGCCTCTGCCTAATGGCCAGGACAATATTTATAACCGTGACTCTACCTGATGCTTTTTCATGAACACCAGACATAGCTTCCTGGCCCATACGATAAAATTCCACTCCCTCAGTGTTCACAGCCCTTCTGTTTGCTTTTAGCTCTGTTTGGTCCTGTCCCTTCAAGCTGTGTGCAGCTACACTCCAGCTCCTCAGAATGCACAACACTCTGCGTTATAGGAAACAGGTTCCTCTCCTGTTTCCAATCCCACCACACAGGCTTTCCTCTCAGAAGAGCCATTCCTCACCCAGGCTGGGGTAGCTTCCTGTGCCATTTTGTGCCATCTCCCTCCCTGTTTCCAACATTATCCTAGAGGAATGGTTCAATTTTCCTCTCTTAAATGGTTCATTACCGCAGACATTTTACTCTTCTATCCATCAGTGTTTCTACAGGCCATGGTGTTAGGGAAAATTGAAATTGAATAGCCATTAGTTATTATTGAATTAAATTTACTTGGCTCCTTTATTTACATGTTTTCTTCTTGCCTTCCTTTATCCTTGTGTGTGTGTGTGTGTGTGTGTGTGTGTGTGTGTGTGTGTGTGTGTGTGCTGGTCAGAGAAGTATAATAAAGTTAAGATAGGTTAAAGGTCTCTTTCATAATTTATAAAGCCAGCAAGTCCATCCAAGAAACATGTTTTCTGGGCACCAGTGGCTCACACCTGTAATCCTAGCTATTCAAGAGATTAAGATCTGAGGACCTGGGCTTGAAGCCAGGCTGAGAAGACAAATCCATGAGACTCTTATCTCTAATTAATCAGCATAAAGTTAGAAGTGAAACTGTAGCGCAAGTGGTAGAACACCAGCCTTGCATGAAAAAAAACCAAGCAAGAGAGTCAGGTCCTGAGTTCAAGTCCCAGTACTGATGAAAAACAAACAAAAACCATGGGTTGATGCTTAGATGGAGTGCTAACAAAAATTGACAACTGAAAACTGAAAATAGAATGGTGATTTGTTTTTTTTCCAGAGTCTACAATGTAGATTTTATGGAAAAGAATTTATTTTATTATTATTATTACTATTATTATTATTTGTGTGTGTGTGTGTGTGTGTGTGTGTGTGTGTGTGTGTGTGTGTTTTGGGGCTTGGACTCTGGGCCTGGGCACTGTCCCTGAGCTCTTCAGCTCAAGTCTAGCACTGTACCACTTGAGCCACAAGCACCACTTCCAGTTTTTTCTGCTTATATGGTGCTGAGGAATCAAACCCAGGGCCTCATGCATGCAAGGCAAGTAGTCCACCACTGAGCCACTTTCCCAGCCCCTGGAAAAGGCTTTTAAAAGACATAGAATTAAATCTCTCCCCCTACCTTCAAGAGGACAATGTCTTATGTCAGGGTCTCTCCTCTGCCTATGGCTAACTGATAAACCATACTCATTTTGCCAGGTCTCAGTGCCAAAGTCACATTCTCTCTTCTGAAGAAAACCTCTGGAAAGAGGACAGTATTTGCCTGAACTTCCCCACTCCTGGCTGCTGCCTGTGAATTCCTCCCTCCACAGCCTCCAGTGGGAATGGGCAGGGTGAACTCACCCTCTGCTGCAGATAACTTCCAGAGCTTCCAGGTTCCCGTGGTAGGCAGCCAGCAGCGTGGGCGTCATGCCGTCTCCATCACACAGGTTCAGGTCTCGCTTGGTGGCCTCTTTGAGAAGTTCGAGGTAGCCATCACTAGCAGCTTGGTGGTAACGAGTGGTCATTTTGTCTGCTCACCAAAACTTGGCTAGATACCTCTCTCTAGGCAGAGCGGAAGGTTGGCAGAGCAGTCTTCCTATGAAGCTGGTTAATCAGTGACCAGCAGTGTCACCCTAGGGCAAAGCTCAAACTCATGCTACTCTCTCTCCTTGGAGGCCAGCCAGAAGGGCTCACCGCAGTGAACTTGGGCCTTTCTGAAACCACCATGACACTAAATCCCAAAGCCTGCTAGTTTTATCTGTGGTTTGAGACTAATGTTTGCTATGTCTGTTTGCAACTGTGTGTATATGAGAGAGAGAGAGAGAGAGAAAGAGAGAGAGTGTATTGGGGTTTAAACTCAGGGCCTAGTTGCTGTTCCTTAGCTTTTTCACTCAAGGCCGGCACTCTACCACTTGAGCCATAGCTGCACTTCCAGCTTTTTGGTGGTTAATTGGTGATAAGAGTCTCACTGGCTGGCTTGGAACCATGATCTTCAGATCTTGCCTCCTGAGGCCTGAGCCACTGGTATCCAACTACTTGCCACTTCTGACTGTTATACATACATATACATATATATATACATATACATATATATACACATACATATATATATTTAATATAGAAAAGAATTCAAAAATATTCACAGCTAGTTCAGTTCACCAAGGAGGTCTCTTTAACAGCTTTTTATAGAGGTAGGATTTGTATATTTTGAAATTTACAAGTATGCAACTAAGTGGTTTAAGTTTACATGACCAAAATGTACTATTAGAATATTTCTATTACAGGAAAACTATTCCTTGTATTCTTTTGCAATCAGTTTCCATTCTTCTCTCAACTCAAGAAACTACTAATCTGTTTCTCTAGGTGTATATTTGCCTTTTACAAGCATTTCATAATATAAATAAAGGGCAGAATATAATACCACAACCATTTCCAAAATCTATTTGTAATGAGCATAAAATTAAATGGACTATATTATCATGTTCTACATATGACAGACACATCAAAATATGAAATTACAGAAAGACTGAAGGTAAAAAAGAAAAAGTTATATCCAGCAGATGCTAATAGTGTGCAACTACACTTTTATCAGAGCCTGTTGACATCTTCCTGTAACACCAGCAACTTAGGAGATTTAGGAGGACAGCAGTTCAGGGCAAGTTGAACAAGAAGTTATCAATACTCTGTCTCAACAAAACAGCTGGACACAGTGGCTGCACATTTGTCTATGATCCCAGCTTGGGAGGCAGTCCAAGCCAGCTCAAGCAAAAAATATTATACCTAAAAAATAACAAAAAGCCAAAGGACTGGCTCAAATCACAGAGTAATTTTACCTAGTGAGCAGGTAGAAAAAGTTCTGAGTTCAAATCCAAGTACTCCTACTTTAATATATATACATACATACATACATACATATATGTGTGTGCGTGTGCTTGTGTGTAATGTAATACATATGATATATATATATATATATATATATATATATATATATATATGAAATGTGTATGTGTGTAATGTTGTATGTCTTTTCTTTCTTTCCTTTTGTTTTAGTGTTTGAACTCAGGGCCTTTTGCTTGCTAGGCAACACTTGAGTCACACACCCCGGTAAACAACCCAGCCCAGCCTGGACTGCAATCCTCCTATTTCCACTTTCTACACAGCTAGGGTGATAGGCACAGGCATGCATCACAGTGTCTAAGTTTTTTTTTGGCGGGAGGATGCAGTCTCACTAACTGGGCTTGGAACTTCCCAGTCCTTGCAATCTCAACCTCCCAAGAGGCTAAGGATTGCAAGCATGGGTCACCATGTGCCCAGCTTCTTTTGCCTTTTTTTTCACCATAAATACTTTCCCATACTGTTACAAAATATTTTAATATGTTTGGGTCATGGTCTACTAAACTGATGTCAGGAAGGCATACTTTTGAAATTGGTAACTGTTTATGCTCCTTACCTCTTTCTGCCCAGGTCTTTATTCCAAGATAATGATTTTAACCAAGCTAAAAAAAAATACAAAGCTTTTATCCCCTGGTCCTTCACAAGAATAATTAGCTCTGTGGGTCACTGTTTCTTTTTGTGGTTTCAATGTGAAAGACAGCAGGAGCTGGAGATGAAGCCTGAACAGCAGCCTCATTTAGCAGTTAGAAAAACAAAAACTAATTTTGTGTTGAGCAGAGAGTGATATTTTCAGCGATGACTGTGGATACTTGGAGAAAAAAGTAAGATTATTTCTCAGTTCAGTTGGGCATGAGACTCTTTAATTGAGACCCAATTGCATTAATGACTGTATATATGTATATGGAAATATGTATATGGAAGAGAAGGGAAGGCTCAGATGATGGAATGTCAGCCTTGAGCGAAAAAGCTAAGCCAGAGTGTGAGACTTGAATTCAAGCCCCAGTATTGATACAAAAAGAAATGTATTCCTTACCTGATTTATATAACTCTAACCTCAGTGTACATCACTTTTATAATAACTAATTTTTTAAATGAATTACTTGGAACAGAATCCTATATGCCAAGAAACCCAGGAGTTTGCTATCAGAAGATGATGCTAAGGATGAAAGGGAGAAAGATGAGCTGGACGTTGAACAATTATAGAGACCAATGGAAATGGGTGATGAGGAAAAAGAAAGAATAAAAATAATTTCTTGGCCTCAGCCATCCACATGGATTGGACTTAAACTCACTTGTAAAATGGTAAAACATCTGAACTTTGTGTGTGTGTGTGTGTGTGTGCCTGCGTGTGCGTGTGTGCGTACGTGAGCACACACGCATGTGTGCTGGTTCCAGGGCTTGAACTCAGGGACTGAGTGCTGTCCCTGAGCCTTTAGTGCTCACGAGTAGAGCTCTATTATGTATGGCTAAACTATCCATATATCTACTTCCAGATTTTTGGTGGCTAATTGCAGATAACAGTCTCATGGACTTTCCTGTCTGGGCTGGTTTCAGACTGCTATCCTCAGATCTCAGTCTCCTGAGTAGCTAGGATTACAGGCATGAGCCAGTGGTGCCTGGCTTTTGAATTTATTTATTTATTTATTTATTTTGGGTCTGGTCATGGGGCCTGAACTCTGGGCCTGGGCGCTATCCCTCAGCTCTTCGGCTCAAGGCTAGCACTCTACCACTTTAGCCATAGCACCACTTCCGGCTTTGTTTTTTCTGTTTATGTGGTGTTGAAGAATCAAACCCAGGGCCTCAGGCATGCAAGGCAAGCGCTCTACCACTGAGCCACCTTCTCAACCCCTGAACTTACTTTAAATGACAAGGATTCTGGCACCCTCTGGTATTTCCTATGGAAAAACTTTCTTAGGAGAAAAATGGGTGCAGAGAAGAAAGAGAAGTAAAAACAATTCCCTACTTTCTCCCATGGAGGTGAAGTTGAGAAAGAGTATTGAAGCAGAGCTTGAAGAACTGGGGCATAAGACTGGGGACACGTTAAATGGTTCTGAGTCTCCATTTCTTTATGGATGAAATTGAAGGATGTTAGTAATAATGAGCACATCAACTAACTTTACAGTAATAAATATGAAATGGTGCACGATTCCTTAGGAATGATAATGTATGCTTATATTAACTACAAGCAGTGTAATTGAGAGAGGAAAGGAGAAAGCTAGCAAGACACACACACACACACACACACACACACACAGAAAGACAGGGGGACTGAGAGATCACTAACTTCCCAAGGACCCAAAGGAAAAAAAAATAGTGGAAATCTCAAATTTCGTAGAGAAAATTAGATATGAAGAAGTTAATGCATATAATATAGACATCAGCTCCTTATGAGAACTTTTTAGTAATCTGGGGACAATTATGGATTCTGGCTTTGGACTACATTGATGGCATAGAAGTATTTTTCTTTCCCCAACAGTTTGCTGATAGGCTTTTGGAAGGCCAGAGAAGAATATTTGCCACACACACATGGAAGAGGGACTTTGGGGATCAAATCTGTATGGTAATGACCTCAGTCACAGGCCTTATCAATTTGCCTGTTGGAGCCACACCCCTTTTTGCTCCTGTAATACTGATGGTGTAGCTCTACTAAGAAGCATCTTCCCAGTGTCCCCTATCTGTTACTTAAGTTCAGAGGAGTAGGTTTTAGTTTGTATTACCCCCACCTCCAGATTCTAGAAACTCAAACCTATTATCTGGCATTTCCAGTATTTAACTATTTTACTTCCCAAAGCCCTTATACCTTGACATCATTTCCTTTTGTCAACCAGCAGGGAGAGCAGGGTTAGTAGGCCTCTAAAGGTAGAAAGCAGCTGGAGAGATTCTCCTATGAATGTATTTTTTTCTCTTTCCCATAGAGCAAGGGCATCATCTGCTTTTTCTTGTTGTGTTTATGATTTTGCAGCCTTTCCTGGCACAGTAGCAGCTACCTGACAAGCCAGGTTGGCTAAGAAGGTGTTCCTTCTACCATGGAGTCCAGTCTAGGCCAAGAAAGTACACTAGGTACAGAATTTACCTAACATTTTGAATATCTTAAAACAGAATCCCATGTATTTCTTTGCTCAGGGAGAGTAAGAAAAGAAAACAGTGAATGAGTGTGATGTTGAGTGGTGCTGATACCGCTCAATTTACGCTAAAGAAAAACCAAACTTCATATCCAAGTTCTTCTTTGTTTTGAAAAACTATTCACTGCTAATTGGGAAAGAAATTCAATGGCTTGTGCAGCTCCAGAAACACATATTTTTTAGTAATGAGATTGGCCCCTGTATCCCAAGGGATCTGGTTTTCAAATAGACTGTGTTTGTTCTTTAATGCTATTCATGATTAATTACAGAAAAAAAGGTCTCTTGTAAGCCAGTAAAGGAGTTTTTACACAACAAAAAGAAAGATCAGAGCAGAACATTACTTTTAACAAGATTACTTCACCTAATGAGGAGCTTATTATCAATTTATAATGAAAACAAAAACAATGTAACAGGCAATAAAGGAAAGGAGATTACAAAAGCCCTGTTGTTCTATAGGTGAAAAAAAAAATCCCAGAAAACAACAACAATAACCCCCTCCCCCCAAAAAAAACACAACAAAAAACTATAGGAACCCTGCCCAGATCAAAACAA